TTATTTAACAAACAATAAAATAACAAAAATGACTAATTACTGCAGATGGCCGCTCACGCTGAGCCTGGTTCTGCTGGAGGTTTCTTCCTGTTCAAAGGGAGTTTTTCCTCTCCACTGTCGCTACAAGCATGCTTAGTGTGAGGGATTGCTGAAGAGTCAATGAGTCGATGCAATCAGCTGGTTTTCCTTAGATAGAAAACTTTGACTGGATGATCTGGTGAAATGTAAAGTGCCTTGAGATTACATGTGATGTGAATTGGAGCTATAGAAATAAATGATTTGAATTAACTTTTAGTGGAAAATGAAGATGGGCGTTTGAAGGGAAAGACAATTTTTCAGCTAAATGTGCTGGATTGATATATTTATTGGGGAGGGGATCTGACTGCATGCCATAATGCCTTGCCTGTGTGTTCTTACCCCTTTTTTTCTATTGTGTCTCTTGGCAGCCCAGACATTGATGTGTTTTATTTGAACTGCGTCTATTAAACTATCACAGAGTACGCCATAATTGCAAGATTACCGATTGCCCAAATGCTGAAAAATAACTGTAATATTAATTAATTTAGGGCCTTGGTCACACTAGAAGGTGAAAATATTCTCCCGTTGTGAATACTTTGCCGTCTCCAGCATATTTTCCTCTCTGTGTTAAGCTTTTTCATCCATCTTCCCATTAACTCCTATTGGCTTCCTCATCGTTAAGGAACGCATCCCCACAGCATGATGCTGTCACCACCATGTTTCACAGCTCAGGTGGCATTCTCTGGGTTTAAACTGGACGTGTTGTGGACTTTTATTTTTTTTTTTATAATTGCTTTCTTCTAGCCACTTTATCATAAAAAGGTCCAACTTGTGTACAGTATTTCTTATGGTTATCATCTTTTGCAGTTCCTACAGAGACATCATGATCCTCTTTAAGTAGACTGTAATTTCCCTCTGGGATTATTAATGTCTGATTCTGACATCTGGTTGGAATATGTGCTTTGTAAAACATTAAAGGTTTTTTTTTTTAAAGCACAGAATCTCAACAAAATTAATTAGCCATCAGAATTGTAGAATTGTAGCCTGTATAAAAATGATATCATTTTAATATGCCAAGACATCTTTTGGTATTTCGTTGGGGGGGGAGATTTGAATTTAAACCTGGTGAGATCTAAGCCTCTTTCCTTGACCTTCGCCCCCTGCAGGTGTTAGACGGCGCCGGTCTGGATATAGACTTCTTCATCTCCTCACCCTCAGGACAGCTGCTATACAGCGATCAACGCAAGTCAGACGGCGTTCACACGTGAGAAACTAGGGGAGGGGACAACAACAGCAAACTGTCCATTGATTTATTTAGCACGTTCAAGGTCTCACAGCTTGTTTGTCCCCCAGCGTGGAAACTCTGGAGGATGGGGACTACATGTTTTGCTTTGACAACACGTTCAGCTCCATGTCTGAGAAGCTCGTGTTCTTCGAGCTCATCCTGGACAACATGGATACGGACGAAGACCCAGACAACTGGAAGGAGCACGTCATTGGGATAGACACTCTGGACATGAAGCTGGAAGACATCATGGTGAGGCAGCAATCTTCACTCAACCTGTGGTTTTAAATGTTTCCCTTCAGGGTTTTAGACTTTGTCTCCATGTGGTCTCCCACTGAGGGACCTTAACAGATTAGTAGTCCTTAGAGATTGGATGTGTCACAAGAACCGTCATAACCTCTCATCCACAGCTTGTTGTCTCGTCACTAGCGCTGCCCTCTCTGTTAAAATGGCTTTTATTTGTGTCAGAAGTCACGGGGGCCTGACGTGGTAAAGAACAGGAAGTGTCTTTTCCAGATGTAGAGGAAGTCATTTTAAGGAGGAAGTCATTTTCTTAAGGAGGAAGGATCACACCTGACTGCACTGTGTGGCCGCTTTCTGTTCCAAAAAAAAAAAAAGGGCTGTGGTGGTAACAGGTGGTTTTTTGGCTTCGTACACACTCCTGACTTGACGTATTTATTATAAAAACAAAGACAAGACATTTTTTTCTAAAAAAAAATAGTAATTTAAAGTTTGAAGCTCTAAAAAAGTGGTCAAAAAATCATTTTACAAAGCCTCTCATCCACACCAGACATTTACCAAACCATCCACCAGCCCCCGCTGTGTTCTCAATTACTCCAATTAGTGGGAGGGTCTAACAATTAACAACATCATCTTAATAATTCCAAATATAAAAAATAAATAACACATTTTTGGTTCTAAATAAACTTAAATAGCCACCAAAACAAGAAAACTAAATTGGTAGAACTTATATATTACAAAAATGTTGCATAAATGGCCACACCACACTGCTTCCAGCACTACCATCCGGTGATGTTGCCACATTTTGTCGTTTTTAAAGTTTAAGTTTCAATAAGGCGAATGCATGTAATGGATCACCACATAGAAGGTTTAGTTTAATCTTCCTGCTAAAGAAAAGAATCCCCAATGATGATGTTTTCACCAGGAGGTTCCACTGCTCAGATTGTGTTTTTAGGGTGAAATAAAAGTGTTTCCCCCCCAATTTATACCCCCTCTAGCTCCAGTCAACTAGGCTGCGAATGTCCTAGCAAAAACACAGCTTTTAATTAATTTCAATTCAGTTTATTTCTATAGCACCAATTCATAACACGTCATCTGAAGGCACTTTACAGATCATCCAGTCAGACTGATTAAAAGTTTTCTATCTAAAGCCCGGCGTACACAGTGCGATTTTCGGAGCGATTTTCCAGTTGTGCGAGAATCTTTCAATCGGGCCGACTTTCAGCCTGATCGTGTGTCGTTTAGTGTACAGGGCACAGGGGGTTACGAGCGGCGATCAGCCTCTCACGACCACCTTCTGATCAGGAATCGTGAGGTCGGGAGAAAATCAAACATGTTTGATTTTCTCCCAACCGTCATGGGCAAATTGCTCAGGGCGAAAAAAAGGATTCTTTTTATTCTTCCTCTCAGATGTAAACCCAGCAGCATGGCGGGGGTGCAATGAGTGAAATGGAGTTCTTTCTGTTAAATTGACAGACCGTAGTAGCCACGTTTGCTCAGCTATGTCTTTGTCCAAATACGTCGTCTCCTTTTCTTTTTAGGGTTTTCAGCACAAAATTGCACAAATTACCAAGGCAGCGCGTTTCACTCTAGTGAGCTTCAGATTCGTCTTCTACTCGTTTGGCTTCCGGATAGACGAGTCCGAGTAGCTCCATCTCACTGCGGAGCTGAGTCTGACGTGCTTTTAGTCGTGCAATGTGAGCAGGTAGATCGCATGAGAGCATCGGGCTCAACATAAATCGTGAGCTGTGTGCAACGATTGAAAAAAATCGCACGCCCGGCTTAAGGAAAACCAGCTAATTGCATCGACTCATTGATTTGAATGCAATCCCTCACACTAAGCATGCTTGTAGTGACAGTGGAGAGGAAAAACTCCCTTTGAACAGGAAGAAACCTCCAGCAGAACCAGGCTCAGTGTGAGCGGCCATCTGCTGAGGCCCACTGGGGTTCAAGGAGACAGAAGCAGACATAGAAAAAGAAGCATAGATACAAAAGGCAACTGTCAACCAGCTCCACAGGCGGCCCCGTCCAGGAAACACACAGCCAGGCAGACGAGCTCCGAGCCAGCTCCCATGTCAGAGGATGAAGAGAGCACATCCAGTTAGTCACAAGTAGTTCCTGATTGTTCCTCTTGCGTTGTGGCATGGAATAACGTAGCGCAGACCACGCTTCAATATTGGGCATAAATCAAAAATATCTGAGACACACTCCTGCAGAGAGGATAACCAGCCCTTAAGCCTATAGCAGCCCATAGTCTGATCCAGCCAATCTACAGATATAACGCCGCTCCATCACCAACTCATCGAAGATTTACTTAAAAACCTGACTCTATGAATGCGTTTATGAGCGATCTAATGTAGCAGTCGCTTACATTAGATCAATTACTGGGCTATGTATATTAACCAGGGAATCAAAACATAATGATTAAGCATGAAATATACCAAAAAACAGCAATAAATTCAGCTTTCAGCACTCATTTCACTCATGCATTGAAGAATAGAACTTGTGAAAATATTTGCATGGAAAATAAACCAATTCAAAGCAGTTTGATCTTTTTAAAACCTGTAGAAGTAGTTGTTTTGGTTTGATTTTCATGCGTATCACTGGCTGTTATTGCAGCTCCGCAGCGGAGCCAGGCGCAGTGTTTATCTTTGATACTTACTGTTTTGCATGTTGGACAGAAATGTAAATTTTGGTCTCATTTGAGCGGGGCTGTTCTTCCACATGTTCACCCCCCCCATCTGCATAGTTAAAATGAACACTTAAAAAAATGCAGATGAACACAAACGTCCAGCTCTTCTGATATTTATTGGTACATAATATATTTGTAACCATACATCTCGTTGCTTTTGAACGAAATATAATCCCAGTTAAATAGACTGAATTTTATGGAAGAGGATTAGGGCCACAGAAAAAAAAAGTTAACTGATTTTTCCATTTTATTTCAGTTTAGTATGGAGGGAAAAGTCAGAATTCTGACTTTTTTCTCAGAATTCTGACTTTTTTTCTCAGAATTCTGACTTTAATCTCAGAATTCTGACTTTTTTCTCAGAATTCTGACTTTTTTTCTCTGAATTCTGACTTTAATCTCAGAATTCTGACTTTAATCTCAGAATTCTGACTTTAATCTCA